AAAGAGTGCATTTGAGTGCTGTTTGACACTCAAGTGGCACCAGATCTTTCACTTGCGGGGCTTGTCATGATATCGTGTTATTTATACATTACTCTGAGTCAAAAAGTCTCTGTGAAGAGGCAGGCAGAGCCCTTCTAAGTCAAACCCCTGGACTATTGAAGCTGATGAAAAATATAGAATAGCTTGCATTAAACCTTCGAAACTGTTAGCATCAGTGAGAGATTTTACTGAAAATACCCCTCAGCAAGAAAGGATACGAAGTAATGAATGAACAAGGATCATGTTTGAAATAACAAACACACTCTGACAGACTTTCTGGGGTTTTTTTTGTTTTGTTTTCATTGTATTTAATTTTCTGTCTGCTTACAGCTGCTTGAATGACAGGCGTGGAGGCTGGCATCTATCACTTCTCTTCAAAACAGATAGGGAATGAACATCAACATTTCTCAAAGTCGACCCAGAGAGAACAACCTTTCTTAAAAATAAAAGCATTTCCCTCACACCTGTTGCCACAGCCTATCAAATTCTCCTCTTTTGCCAAGAGAAGCATCAACTAAAATGAAGCTCTGTTGATGTGTTTTGCTTTCTTCAGGATATCCTCAACTGATGACTAGAAACTGGGCGAAGGTTTTCTCACCGTATACTCAATTGACAAAATTTAACATCACCAGATAGCATTGGCTCTTATGCTCTGATGACCATATTTTACTGGAGAAAACTGTCCACGTCCTCATATCAGTCAAGTTAATGCCCAAGTTTTGCATTAAATACAAATAGAAAGAAATGGAAACCTGTGGAAATACCCCAGGGAGCAGGGGGAATTGTTGTTGCTATTTACTGTGTCTTCTGATCAAAATGTGGAAGGAACATGTTAAATAACTTATTATCTGAATTTCCTTTAAGATGTAGGATGATTTTTTGGCCTCATTTTATAGGTAAGTGGCTTGAGATTAGTATGATTAGTGCCCAGGGAACATAGAGAGTTGATGGCAGAATTGACACTTGAGCTGATTTCACCAAATGCTTTCCTAGCACCCTTCCAATGGGGGACTCTCTATGCCTGCACAGGCACCTGCAACTGATGGTCTCCAGTTTGCAATGTCTGTCCAGTCAGTAATGATAAATCATTAAACTGTTTTTCAGCTGGACTTACCTTGTATTCTTTTGGTCTGAATAACTAACTTCCTGACTGCTAAGTAATTTGGTAACTGCAATTATGTGTATAAACTGACTGGCATCTGCTGGTTTTCAGGGCTAAGAGGTGGTGTGATTAGTTGTGGTAATGTCAGGTTTGGCAGATGACAAAATGGACAGCTGCCTACCTCCATGGATTGAGCTCTTATTGCTGCCCCTGCTCCTCCTGTGGTGTTGGAGAGAAAAATGGGTGTAGGGAGGTCAGGACAGATGAATTGACTCTTGCTATTTCAAGGACAACTGTTTCCAACACCAGGAGCAAGCCCTGCTCTCCAGATCTGCCCTTTCCCTGTCTCAGCTATACCCCACTCTTCATGGTAGGAGAATATGCATTGCTGTGTTAGCAGCCCAGGAAGCACAGGACTGGGACAGGAGACTGCTATAAAAAAGGAAAAAGGGTTGTGCTGGAGGTGGGATGACCTGGTGGTGACTCCAAGGAAATGGTGGTGGGATCTGGGAGGAGTTCATCTCATCTTCCTTTCTCATCTACTCTTGTGAAGCTGTCTGCATGGGGAGGATCACTGGAGGCTTTCTGAATCAATATGGTATTTAGCATCTTTTTTTATAGGTCCTTCCAGTCACCAGATGAAATTCTGAAGTTCCCCATTCGATGGTTATCCATTTATTCTCAAAGTTTTATCTCCTTCCATTTTTCACATTACCACAGGTGCCAATGAAAGGCAAGGGACTCTAAATTATATATATTTGCTATGACAGAGCTTGTGCCAGCACTGAGCACTGACAATGCACATTACAGTTCAGCTCATGTATTTCTGATGGCACATTTTACAGTGCTATATATAAAGTTGTTATGGCATCTATTATTCACTGCCAATACAGTTCAAGTTAAAATAGGTTTTATATAACAGTTCAAAGCAATATTTTAAGAAATAACACTTGTGTCAAGGCTGCTGTGTCCTACCAGATTTTGACATTTCCAAGCAATAAAGATCTTTATCCAAAATGAAAGGTTTTGGCGAGACATCTCCCTTGCAGACTTCTCTATTTTTAATCTGCAAGCAATAGCAAAAGAAGCACATTTAAATAAAATGAACAGCCAGCTGAACTTTTGACATGGCTGTTATCTTTCTAGGTGGAAACTGTGAACACTGAAAAGTGCCTTAAGGGCTGTTCATGACAGAGAACCATGTCCCATTAACCTGAACCTCTGAAGAGA